AAATGTATACACCCCGGCTTATCATGTAGCGGTAGCTTTCGGAAAGGTGGAAAACGTATATTTAAAACTTGCGCCGGGTATTTAATGTTCGGCTCCGCCCGAACTTAGACTTTCTTACTTGTTTGTGTTTATCGTTATCACTTGTTTCTTCATCTTCATATTTATCTTTATTTCAAAGTTTAATTTCAAATACGAAGTAAAACAAAATGCTAAACAGCTTAAATTGAACAGGTTGCCCAAACAACCATACACAAATATGGAATTTTTTAAACAACGATTTTCAACCAATATCGAAACTATGAAAATTCTCCACATCTACAGAAAATTACTTTTCCAACGGTGTTTTTGGTTTTGAAATCGGTAAATTTACCTTGGTCATCATCTTTGTTTTTATCTTTCATATCTTTTATCCTTTTCTTTATCTATTCACGTAGATGAGATGAGGTGTGATGACATGATAAGATGTGACGTGATTTTACGTCATATGATAGGATGTCATGTCATGTGCTGCCATATCCTGTGATGTCATGTCATATGATGTCATATCATGTGATGCCACGTTATGTAATGCGATGTCATGTGATGTGTGATTTCATATCATATGATGTCATGTCACGTGATATTGTGAGATGTGATATCATATTATGTGATGTAATATAATGTGATGTCTCATCATATCATGTGATATAATGTGATGTGATGTCATGTAATGTGANTCATGTCACGTGATATCGTGTGATGTGATATCATATTATGTGATGTAATATAATGTGATGTCTCATCATATCATGTGATATAATGTGATGTGATGTCATGTAATGTGATCGCATTCCATGTTCCGATTATTATATCGATAACCCTGTCGATAACTGCTTCAACAAAAATACCGATAACAATGTCTNTTATGTCATGTAATGTGATCGCATTCCATGTTCCGATTATTAAATCGGTAACCCTGTCGATAACTGTTTCAATAAAAATACCGATAACATCCATAAACATATAGAAAAATACAACAATTGCAAAATCGATTTATTCATCGATAGATATAACAATCATCAGCATCGATTATTGTACATATCGATAACAATATAAATTACTAAATCGATAAAAAAATCAATTATTTAATCGATTATTATACCGATAACAATATCCATTATTGTACCGATAACAATATTTTTGCATATTCCTCTTCACCTTTACCTTAAAGTGTTTAAATCAGGGTTTGAAAATGCTGTAATTTTTTCATTTGATTTACTTTTGCTGTGCTTTGACCATCGTATAGGCTTACAAGTATGGAAAGCGCCATTTTGTTTGTTTACATTTGAGAACAGCTGAGATCACCTGATTTTCAATTCTCTCATTCTCCGCACAGAGTTACATTCAAGTTTCAGAAAAAACTTTAAAATGTAAATTGAGAAATATTTTAGAAAAATGTGTTTTTATTCATTTGAATTCAATAAAAAAGAAATTAAAAATGCGTGCTAAGTGTAGCATTTCCAATAATAACGATAAATGTGTAAGTTCCAGGCAATAATTTAAAATATTTGTGAAACTTATCGTTTTGCGCTAAAATACAACAATGTGTGTAAAATTCGTTGTCATTGCTTCTGTTTTGAATATCATATTCGTGCCTGCCGGTGGAAAAAATAGGTAAATTTGCATTTATTTTCAAGAAAACATATCAGTTAAAATATATTTCTTTCCAGAGCGACATACGGACAAGTAAGATGATAAATTTGTATGATGAATATCGCGGAAAAACTTTTG